AAATTTGTCCTATATGTTGAAACAGTATATATCATTATAATGGTTCCTGACCGACTAGCCGAATAGCTTCATAAATAATTAGTAAAAAACTTCCGTAAAAACCTTTTCTCTTCCTAGATGTTAAAAACGGGTTCGAATTCGCCGGTTTAGATGACTTCTATGTAGACAACAAAAATGTTTACCTTGCTTTTGACCAAAAAATTTCCTTAATGTGTGGGGCATCTGTAAAAAACTATTCTAAGCCCGAATGGTATGTCAACAGTACTCTGGTAGAAAAAGGGTTTGGCAATGGCACATTTGAACTGAAGAAAGCTAACACCATTTATAGCAGTAAAATTTATCTTAAAAAAGAAAAAGCTGAATATACAGATAGTGGTAATTATGAGTGCAAGGTTAAAAAATATGGCAATCAAATAAAATATATCGACTACGCTTTATCTGTTATGAATAAATCGCCATTAAAGGTAGTTCTGAATCAAACAACTGTCAAGATAAACGGAACCCACCCTATCACTTTGACTTGCGATGTCTTTGGTTTGCCCAAACCCAAAGCAGTTTGGCTTAAGGTGAGTACTATTGTTTGCTGTGAATTTTGATTTACGTCTAAATGTTTTTAGGGCGGGCAAGAGCTGAAATCCACAGAGAACATATTATTTTCAAATGGAGTACCTTATACAAGATTAAACCTAAGGGTTTTTAAAGAAGGTACTTATAAATGCTCAGGAACATTGAATGACACTATTTCAGAGGAAATATATGTGGAGCCAGAAAATAAGATAGCTTCATCGTGGAACAAGGTTTTGTTCATATGTCTTGGAGTACTTTTAGCAATTTTGGTTGTCGTTCTTGCTATTGCTTTAAAAATTTTCAAATTAAAACAGGTAAAGCGGCAAATAATTTACATCTTCCCTAGTTTTGTAATAGACGACAATGGTACAAAAAATGTATTTACTTATGATGTTAGCGATAAATTACCACTTATTAATTAGTTTAGCTTTTTTGTGAAAAGAACAGTATTTGTTATTGTTTTTATTATTAATATATTAAAATTAAATGACATATTAGTTTTTTTGTCAAAACCCAGGTTTCTATAATAATTTAGACCACTATTATGATACAAATATTACCAAAAAGCATGAGTGCATTTTAAACTAATATTCGGTATTTACATACATACACATAAAAAAAATAAAAAATTGCTTCATAATTTAAAATGAAACATACCTACTACGTAATGGCAATTGAAACATTTTCTAGAAACTAGAATACGAAATGAAACAAGCAGGTTTAGATAACTTCAAATGCGGCGCTATAGAAAACCTAAACCCGAATCTAGGAATTGACGAACAAGCGGACCTGCTTCCCTACGATGACAAATTCGAATTTCCCTTGGAAAATTTGAAGATGGGTAAACAGCTCGGTTCAGGTGCATTCGGTGTTGTCATGAAAGCAGTGGCGAGGCATATTATGGACCACGAGGACATGTCTGTGGTTGCTGTCAAAATGGTGAAGAAAAACGCTGATCCGGCTCTGATTAAGGCGCTGGCATCCGAGCTAAAGATTATGGTGCACCTTGGAAAGCATTTGAATGTTCTTAACTTGCTTGGCGCTTGTACTAAGAACGTTGCTAAAAGTAAGAAACATATTTGTATTGCTATTACATTCGTTATTTTATGTTTTTCTTTAATATTTAAACCCAACAATATAATACAAATTTATAAAAGATTTCTTTAATACTAACATTTGTTTCATAATTTGAGGAGAACTGATGGTAATAATGGAATTCTGTCGATACGGAAACCTGCACAACTATATACAAAGACATCGAGACAACTTCATTAACCAAATTGATCCTAACACGCAATCAGCAGACTTTAGAATTGGACTGGAGGTTCTTGAAAGGGTATACTCTCCTTCAAACAGGTTCGTTTGACTTTTTACATATATTATATAATATGTGTACTTTAAACTAAAACCAAATATTCCAAATTTCAGAAGATATACGTTTTCCAGTCAATGTTCAAGAAATTATTCTGTAAGTTATACCGCAAGAACTGAGATGTCTTCTTTTTCCAATAACTCAGAATGTAAGAATAATTCAGATTAAAAGTGTCTATTTCAATGCATTAGTATAGAGCAAAAAACATACATAAATGTTTTTTTAGTTAGTGAAGATTATTTCTTAAGCAACAACAGCAGTGTCCAACCTGATTGGAGATCGAACTATAAGGGAGACTATAAAGGAAATGTAAAACCAATTTGCACAAAGGATTTGATATGTTGGGCTTTTCAGGTTTCCAGGGGAATGGAATATTTGGCTTCTAGAAAAGTAAATACCAAATGGTGTACATTTAAACGTTTAATCTCGTTGTTATTTTAGGTTTTGCATGGAGATTTAGCAGCCAGAAACATATTGTTATCTGAGAATAACATAGTAAAAATTTGCGACTTTGGTTTGGCCAAAAGCATGTATAACAATGATAACTATCAAAAGAAAGGGGAGGTAATATTAAATCGATTATATTTTGTTCACCTACTAATATGTCTTCAAGGCTTTACTTCCAATAAGATGGATGGCAATAGAATCTATAAGGGACCACATTTTCTCCACTCAGTCCGATGTTTGGTCTTTTGGTGTAGTTCTGTGGGAGTTTTTCTCGCTATCCAGAAGCCCATATCCTGGTATTTTACCTGATAAAACTCTTTATGATAAATTAGCCAGTGGTTATAGAATGGAAAAACCAGAGTTTGCGCCTAAAGAAATGTAAGAAGTTGAATACAACTAATATTTTTTGTAATTATTAATTTTTTAGCCACAATATGATGATGGATTGTTGGTTGGAAAAACCACAAAGGCGACCATCATTCGAAATCCTGACTGAACGACTGGGGAACCTTTTGGAAGAAAATGTCACAAGGGTAGGCAACTTCATAAATAAAATGGTTTAAATATAATATAAAAAGTTTTTTTATGATATCCTATATAATTTAAATTTTTACCTCATTTGTAGCATTACATTGATCTTAATGATCCTTACCTAAAAATGAACACCGAAGGAATGCAAACTCGAAGCGACTATTTGGCGATGGTCAGCCCGCCAGACTTTGATTTGCTTTCCTCGCCGCTGTTGGACCACCATCCAGAGTCTCCCGATTTGGACTCGTTGGGTTACTTGAGCATGCGCTCAGCTGACATTTGCAGTCCTGGAACGGAAAACGGACAGATCTTCGTGTTTCCAGACCATCAACCACCAAAAAATACGCTGAACGAAAAGGGAACCGTGTTTGAGAAGGAGCCCATGATGTCACCAGGAAATCAAGTTCCCAATAGTGTTTCGAACCCTGGTTATCATTTGCCACTAAATGTTGGAGATAATTACGTGAATATGCCTCAACAGGATAAAAACGATGTCATAATTGATTTTAAAGATAAGTGCTTAAATACTTATGTTTGCGGCAAATAGAGACCAACTAAAAAAACGAAAAACTATGTACATATGTAATAAAACCAAAGCTGAATAATGCAGATATGCAAATATGACTAAGAGGTGTGTTAAAGAAGTAACGGGGATATTTTGGAGAATATATTATATCTTAAATTGTCAGCAATATCCTTTAGTAATCTTTATTAGATGATAAACACTTATGTCAGCGCTTCTTCCAATCTCATGAATACTTCTAGTACCTACTAAATCCCAGGAATAGCTTTAACGTCTCTTACCTACGTTTGCAACAAGACGGCCCTTTAAGGTTTTCTTTATGTTTAGAAACGAAAAAAATTACACTTGATTATGTCTGACGTTTTGACTAAAAACTCACGAATAAGCAATACATTGTATGGGTTTTTGTGAAACAAAAATTCTAATCTATATTCACGTGTGTGGACGATTCTCGACATCAATTTCCAAATCACAGTTTTTGATATGTACTTTGAACGAATGATTTTTCGTTAGTCGAACAAGTATTATAAATAAGGCTTTTTTTATTAGGTAAATACATTTTTAAATACTAAAATGATGTTTTATTTTCAACTTTACTTTAAAGATAAAAATACTTACACTAAATAGTTTAGGGGGGACCAGACCTCCAAAGACTGACAAATTATAAAGTTACGTTTTCTGTAGGGTTTTCCAGGGTTATTTCAATTTTCTTTTTCCACCTTTAAAACACCCATTATCCTACATATTTCAATGACACTAAGTGATCTTTTAAATACACATTGACAAGTTGTGGCTTTATGGCGTTTTTGTCACGGACTGAATCGTCAAAATAAAGTGACCTTCTTGTGAAATAATAATGTGGAAACTATTTTATTATCTTAATACAAAAATAAAAAGTATTAAATAGTTTTTTAAGGTATTTGAAACGTTTATATGCAAGTTTGTACTGACCTTTTGTTTTTCAGGCAGCAACCTAGATATAACCGAAAGCATTACAAATTTTGGGTGGAGATTCCACCGAGAAGTGCCCATAAAACATTCTCTTCACTTTCACTGCGAAAAACTGCTGGAATATAAAAAATTTAGAAAATCATAATGATTGGCGGTACCAGTTACATAACTGTAATTGTAGAAGAAGAATCTTCTGGAACCGGTTGGTTATATAAGTCAGCTGCTTTACGGCAAAGTAAGTGGATTGGACATCTTAAGGAAAGGGTAAAGTGACAGTAAACGAATGACAATATTTTTCGTATCAAAACATTGAAATCCGCCAACTATACCTTTTCAACTTTAAATTGAGACTTGTCACTTTCAAATTGAGACTAATCACATTCATGTTGGGATCAGTCATATTCAAAATTAGAATAAACAAATTTAAAATGAAAATAGTCACTTTCAAAATTATAAATACTTTTTTGTAAACTGTTCTAACAATTAATTTTATTTAATTACCACGCACTTTTATTTCGCATTTTAAGGTGTTACCTTAATTTTGTTAGCGTTATCTACATTTCAGTGGTTTTTAAGTTTAAATCGATTTTTAAGTCAACTCAACTTATCATTTCCTATTCCATCATTCCACCGTTCGGACACAAATTTGTAGCGTTTTTTACTTTACTATTCTCACTATGTACTTTAAGTTTGTTGTTTGTTTTAGTGTTGTTATTCCTATAGGTATGTAACAAATATACATTTTATGTTGAAGAGTTTTTCCTTAAAAAGGATTCTTGTAAATTTCCTTCAGAAAAATATGTAATATACAAGTTTATTAGGTCCACGTTGTTTCTAGGTAGGTATCGACATTGAAACTTGTAAATTACAAACAAGTAAAAAATATTTATTTTGATCGATGTTTGTACAGGGTGTCCCACAACGATAGCATGAATAAACTTTATTTTTGAAATACGCTAAAAAAGTACAGGTATCGGGTTTTCTGGTGGACTTCGAATGCATTTAAGAATTGTGAACAATAAATTTTAATCACTGATTATAAATCATTTTTAAATAAATAGATAGTTTTTTCACAAAAGAGAGGAATGCAGAAGTCTTACTCGACAAATTTTGTTCAATTGCACAGTTAAATCGCGCACGTTATTTGTGTTTTACGTTGCAAGGAAAAAACTAAAAAACTTTTTAGTACTCGATTTCTATTCATTATTCCTTATATCATTGATTAAGAAACTCAACGCTTAAATTAATATAGTTACGTTAGTGTGTGTATTTTATCTAAGGGATCATAATGAATTATTGTGTTTTTAATTGTAAATGAAATTCAAGAACTAAATCATTGCATTTTCATGTTTTGCCAAAGCATCCAATTCGTTAAGTACATTTGTTGGTGCAGAATTAACTAATGATAACTTTACCTAATATAATTCATATATATTAAGTTTGGACATTTTTTAGAAATTAGTAAAAAATAATTTTTGCAGAAACATAACCTTAAAATCAACCATTTTTATGTTTAAGTTCTCTAAAAAACACCGCATTTTAAACAACAAAATATACCTAAGAATTCATGGCAACATACATAATATAATGGCATTTTACCGTTGAGTGGAGACTTTCTTAATCAACGCTTTTAATAATGTTAAATGCTGTTTAAATTTAGATGACTTATTTGTTTGACGATTTTTACTAAATTGAAATGTTTACCCTTTTCACGTTAATCACTAATAAAATGTGTATTTATTGTATCTAATAGGTACAATTTATATTTACAGAGACTGCAGTACATGTATACAATTTATTTTTTCATTTAGATTAACACTGTTTATTGGAAAACCGGTAAAAACTCAACCCAGGATCTCCTCTCAAAATACACCCAACAACACAACAAATCGAGTCACAGTTTTTTTTTTGATATCGTTCGTAACATAAGCGTTTGACAGCTGATTATTAAAAGTTGTTCTTTTGTTACAATGATAACTAGCGATACTTTTTTAGCGTATACATTTAAATTATTGGAATTTTGTTTAAACAATTGTTCATAAATTTGGACATATATTTACGTCAGATTTTATTAATTATTAAATAGTTTCGAGGAATAATCTAGACATACATAAGTCATCCTATAAATTTAATCTGTCAAACTATGCTCAGTAAGTTTTTTATTTGATTTTTTTTTGGAAAATAGTTTCATGCAAATAATTAAAAATAAAACCCCTCGACCGCTACGCGGTCTCGCGATTTTATTAAATTATTTTGCATTCAACATTTTCCAAAAAAAAACAAACAAAAAACTACTGAGCCTACTATAGTGTAACCGATTATATTCATAGTTCTCGTGATATAATATATGAATAGAACTTTATTTATTTTATAACGCTATTGCTATACGAAGTGAAAATTATTAATAAAATAAGGTTAGATTAGAATTTTTTTATTGGTTCAAATAGTTTTTTTTCAGCATATAAATGCATATGTATGTATTTTATCTTTCCGCAATATCCTTTATATTATAATAGTCTCGGTAATTTCTTGAATATTAAAGAATATTGTGGAAATATGCAAATTTACATTATCGTGGTTTTATATGTATAATATGTTTTATTTTCTAACATTATATAATATCAATAATATTAGCCTTAACGCAGCCTTTAGAATATAATTTTTGGTGTGCAAAATTTGAATTACAATTTTCTCTATAGAGGTATACCATGAATTTATTTTTTGGGATGATAAAAACAATAAAAATTATATTTGGTCCTTAATTACTTAATAATGAATTTCGAATGACTATTTTGATATTTATCGGAATTTGCTTGGATTATTATAGTTTTTTCAAGTTATTATCAGTTTTTAACAGAAAAACCTGGGGACTGATGAATCCCCCCAAGAACTTCGTTAAAACAATATTAAATTATCGCATTGTAATAAAATTTTATTAAATTTAAAAAAATTAAAAAGTTTATAACTATAGGTATGGCAAATAATTTTTATTTTAGTTTTGGGGAAAGTTGAACTGTCTTTGGACAAAAGTGAATATGTTTTGGAAAAAGGAGGCAATTTAGATATTTACTGTTATGGAACTGAGCCCATTCAGTGGGATATACCAAAGAATTCAGTAAGTATATAGCTAAGAAAACTAAAAAAAATATCTAATTGTGGCATTTTTTAGGATAACTTTACTAAAATTAATACAAAAAGTTTACCAGGAGACAAAACCCATTCATATGTTGCTTTACTCGAAATAAAAAATATTTCATATCTGTATGTGGGATCGTACAAGTGCCTTGGTCAAAACGAAAACAAGTCTATATACTTGTATGTTAAAGGTAGCTTGTTTAAATTTATTTATTTACACAAACATAAACAATATTATTACAGATTTGGATCATTTATATACGTATGATAAAGACATGGTAGACGTTTATCCAAAGCGGGGTTCAGAATATGTATTACCATGCAAACCGACTTTTCCAGAGGTTAAAGTTACACTTTATGATAGTACAAAAGAGAGATATGTAAGTACTTATAGGTCTATACGCTCTTTGTTTCTTTAACCTTCCCTAGATATAGGTCAGTACAATTTTTCAGTCGGGAAAGAAAATAATGAAGAAAAATTCAAATCGTTATCGTCCTGTTTGATGATCAAAGGGGTTCTTCAATGTTTTATTTATTGATACTTTCCTGATGTATGAAACGTTTTCAAACTTTGCGAAAATATAGATAATTAATTGCAGAAAAATTTGTCAAAAACACGATCAACGTCTAAGTATGAATTTCTTTTGAAGGAATTTGATGGAATGGAATCTGATTTTTAATTCCGATTCTTCAATTATTGTTTAAAATTACTACAAAAAGATCTTTTTATCATTCCCAATTTTTGATCAAAAAGGTTTCGAATTTGTCCAATAATCTTTATAAGTCTTCCCTCTTGTTTGTAGTAGTAAGTAATAAGAATTTGACTGCAACGCAACACACAATTCCAGTTGAAGGTCGGCACTGCTCGAGATCCTCAATGTTCCAGTAACTACGGTTTTCTATCAATCGCCAGTGGCGTCACATAGCTTATCGTTGGTGAAGAAATGACTCGCTTCTTTATATTTTCGTTTTTTTTATTTTATATATTTTTGTCTACTTTAAAAATCTTATTTTATCTTAGATAACGCTGGGAAAACTTGATGACAAAGAGGCTTTATACACAGCACATCCTCACCATGGAATTTATAGTAATGCCAGTGAGGATTCCGCATTCATAGATTGTACTTTTGAATATACAGATAAATACAGCTCGTATCTTGTGGTACTCGTTCACGTAGAAGGTAGGTAGATATATTAAAATGTATTTAATAATAATAATAATAATAAACGGCCGAGCTTCAATCAGATTCTTTTGAGTTTGCCGTGTGATAAAAATGGAGTTTTCCCATTGGCCTAATAGCGGGACTTACTACCAGGGGGAGGAATGTAACCACTCGAAAAAAACTCAACATGTTCGACCTATATATTTAATAAAAACACTTTATTATACTTGTATGAGGACAAATATAGTAGGGGGTGTTTTTTGAAATTCGCAAATATATATAAGTATTCTTTGCATGGAATTTGGTCTCTATTGGATGTGGTTAGTCAATCAGAGCATTACATTTGCCACCGCACAACGGTCTGATTGGTCACCAGTAGAAACCAATTTCTATAAGAACTCATGTTAAAATTTGAAATGTTTTTAGAGCCAATATATTATTTACCAACCCCAATAGTACGGGATTTAAATTTCAGTCATGTTGAAATTGGTCAAAAGCTCGTATTAGAATGCGAATTGGAAATATATAACAGAATTAATATGTTTTGGATATTGCCTAATAACACGGTAAGTTTTACATTAGGTTAAGGGTATTATTTAAAATGTTAGATGTTATTTACTTCTAAATTTAGTTTAACACCAAGACAAGTTCTAAAACAATAAAAAAATTTTAAAAGTCGACTAAAATTATGAGAGTCAACCTAAGTCAAGTACCTACATTCAATCATCATCATATGATGACGTCACCTTGTGATCAGAATATAAATGAATCCTTTCAATTAATTGAATACATAATACCATGTAGCATAAATATATTTGTAATCAATTAAATAAATTATGTTATGCCTGATATTTGATAAATGATGATAATTTTTAACTTTAGAAAATAAAAGGACCGATAAGATATGAAAATGGACACAAATTAAAAATAATGCAGTTAATTGTAAACCCTACAACAAAACGCGATGTAGGAAATTATACTTGCTTAGTAGAAGACCTACAAAATCACACAGTCACCAGTTCTATACCCATTAAGTTATTAAGTAAGTAACCTTATTTATTTAATTACACGTCTACAAATTTTTAAACAAGAAGGATACTATATTTTTTTGAAGGTTTTGTGCTTAATTCTAATACGACCTTAGAATTGATCATTTAACTAAAACAAAAGTGTGAAAACTCAGGTTTTTTTCAATATTTCAGTTTAGGTATTAAAAATCAAAACGACCTCCAAAAGTACTTTACTCTTCCCATTCAAAATTTTGTAACTTTTTCGACTTTGAAAATTCGTTGATTTCTCGGATAGATAAAATTATATTAAAAAAGTACTTTTGGAAGACATAATAATTTCTGTGGAAAAAAAATATTTCATAATGTAACAAAACCCTTTTGGGTTTGAATTGCTCAGAAAACCTGATGGATTCGAATTCAGCTCATGAAAACCTCAGGATAATTTTAGTTTTATTTCAACAATGGAATGTTGATTAAATTTTGCATTAAAATATTTAACATTTTAGGTCCTGGTGAGCATTTTATAAAATTAACACCCCACACGAATATATCTATCACCGTGGAAATTGAAGCTCATCCACAAGCTAACATATCATGGTAGGTTTTACATATTTAAATACATATAGTTGAAATATAAACATTGCGTTTGCATTATACAGGAAGCTCCCAAAAAATTTTGATGGACAAGAAGGTGAAACAAAAAAATATGATATAGTCAATAATATGACGCACACCACTTTATTCTTAAAGGACGTTGAAATAGTAGACACCGGATTTTACACAGTGAAAGCAACCAATATGTACCAAGATGAAAAATCGTTGGATTTCTATGTCAATGTTACCGGTAAAAATATTTGATTCTTGCATTATACCTTTAATTTGAGTAAATTTATATACTTGTTCAGTCCCTATATTAGGGTGAGTCTCCTATGAAAATTTGTCAGTTAAAAACATTTTGAATTTTTTAATATTAATTTTAGACTTAAATCGTTTTAACTACTGTTTTTAATTAGTTTTATATCTCGTGGTGTATTTTTGTTCATTATGTATAAATTAAAAGAAAATAACAATTAAGTATTAAAAATAATTTTTGGAGAGTGCTCCAAAACATAATCAATTAACATATTTTCATAGAAAACTCGAAAAATAATATACTGTATACATATACATACACTGAAAAAAATGGTTAAATTAACCAATAAATAGTTAAATCAATTGTTTTTGCACATTCAATACAAACAATGTTTACTTGGAGTTAAAAGAACCATTCATGAATGTTAAAAATTTAACTTAAAATATAAATGTGGTTTTAACATATTAAAATTATCTATTAAATTAAAATTTCAGAAATTTATTTTAAAATCATATTATCGTAATATTATCAAATTATTTTTCATTTTCGTTTAATTTTTGTGTGTATATTCATTTAACTAATAGAAAAATGATTTAATCAAATTTCTGAACAATATTTATTCAATATACGTTTAGTGTTGATATACTGATTTAAATAAAATGAACTAATAAAATAACATTTTTAATTCGACATTCTCAAAATATCAATTGAAAGTAAAATTCAGTTTATGTCAACAAAATGTTTATTGTTTTAATATCAAAAGGCATGGCATTTCTAAAACTTTTGATTTAACAAATTCATTTCTCCCAGTGTATTCGGCTAATTTCTAAGTTTTTTTTTACAGAAATAAATTAATATAAAGTCTTCCTTTATATGAGCAACCTGAGAGGGAAAAAGTGGCCTCCACAGAGTTCTTCAGTTATTAAATAATATGAAAATTGTCGCTTATTTTTAAGCACTCGTGGTATTACCATCAAATATTATTTTAATAAATACAATTTTTAAATGTTTTATTTTATTATAATGTAGGTAAATATTTTATAAGAGTAAAAAAAATCTGAGGTTTAATTTTTTTTTTAATTTAATTAGGTAAAGTTTTTAAAATTTTTAGTATTTTTTTTTAGAATTTTAAGAATTTAATGTAATTTAAAATTTTTGCCATAATAAAGTTTTAAGTAGTTAATTAAAAAAGTGCGTAATATTTGTAATACACACCAAATTAAAAAAAAACAATAACAATTTAAGTTTAAAAATAACTCAGGCATAATAAGTTTTTGCTTCAATTTTAATAAAACATAAGTGTCTTATGTTATTCAGTAAATGCAAGGAGCATGTTGGGGCCTTGCATTAAAAATAATTTTAATGGTTTATTAGCTTTTTTAATATGTATTCTATAAAATGTCTGAATTATTCAAAACATAAACATTTGGAATTGGTAATCGCTTTAAAAATAAATTGTTAGCTTAGTTCTAAATCCTTTTTAAAAAATCCAACAAAATATGTATTTTTTTTATAATTTTGTTTTGTTAGAATTTTGTTTATTTTATAAATGTGTTTTTTATTATAAATTTTTTAAATAACTATTTTATAAATAAACGCAGTCAATAAGTATGTATGTTAGTTTTATTTATTTCAAAAACAATAGTATAGCATACATTTTATTTATTTTATTTATCAGTACAGTAACTCTTACACTAAATCTTTTGTTAAATTCAGTTTTATTAATAAATAGGTACCTATATTTTTAAAACTTCTGTATAGTATTTATGAACTTCATATGTGCTAATACCAGACTGCAATTCAAATTTTAGTATAGGTAATGTGCTAATGTATATATATCAATATTTTATTAATGTATTAAAAATATAAGATTTCTCTGAATAAGGTACATTTACAGAAATACATACTCGTGGCATTAAATGGCCTCCTTACACTGTTGCCAAATTTAGGAGACTGGTTAAATAGAAAATGTTCGGAGGTATATTAACCGGTATACTTGTTTTAACTTGTATGTCTGACGACGTTTTGGTACAATCTCATGTTCAGAAGAAGTTATACCTCAAGAACTAAGATGTTTTCTTTTTCCAATAACTCCGAACGCAAGAATGATTCAGATTAAAATTAGCAAATACAATATTTTATTAAGTGTCTATCGCAATGCATTATTATAGAGCAAAAAAACACACAAAAATGTTTCTTTAGTTAGTGAAGATTATTTCTTAAGCAACAACAGCAGTGTCCAACCAGATTGGAGATCGAACTATAAGGGAGACTATAAAGGAAATGTAAAACCACTTTGCACAAAGGATTTGATATGTTGGGCTTTCCAGGTTTCCAGGGGAATGGAATATTTGGCTTCTAGAAAAGTAAATACAAAATTGTTTACATTTAAAAGTTTAATCTTGTTGTAATTTTAGGTTTTGCATGGAGATTTAGCAGCCAGAAACATATTATTATCTGAGAATAACGTAGTAAAAATATGTGACTTTGGTTTGGCCAAAAGCATGTATAACAATGATAACTATCAAAAGAAAGGGGAGGTAATATTAAATCGATAATATTTTGTTCACCTACTAATATATTTTCAAGGATTTACTTCCAATAAGATGGATGGCAATAGAATATATAAGGGACCACATTTTCTCCACTCAGTCCGATGTTTGGTCTTTTGGTGTAGTTCTGTGGGAGTTTTTCTCGCTATCCAGAAGCCCATATCCAGGTATTTTACCTGATAAAACTCTTTATGATAAATTAGCCAGTGGTTATAGAATGGAAAAACCAGAGTTTGCGCCTAAAGAAATGTAAGAAGTTGAATACAACTAATATTTTTTTGTAATTATTAATTTTTTAGCCACAATATGATGATGGATTGTTGGTTGGAAAAACCACAAAGTCGACCATCATTCGAAATCCTGACTGAACGACTGGGGAACCTTTTGGAAGAAAATGTCGCAAGGGTAGGCAACTTTATAAATAAAATGGTTTAAATAAATATAATATAAAAAGTTTTTTATGATATCCCATATAATTTACATTTTTACCTCATTACATTGATCTTAATGATCCTTACCTAAAAATGAACACCGAAGGAATGCAAACTCGAAGCGACTATTTGGCGATGGTCAGCCCTCCAGACTTTGATTTGCTTTCCTCGCCGCTGTTGGACGACCATCCAGACTCTCCCGATTTGGACTCGATGGGTTATTTGCAGTCCTGGAACGGAAAACGGACAGATCTTCGTGTTTCCAGACCATCAACCACCAAAAAATACCCTGAACGAAAACGGAACCGTGTTTGAGAAGGAGCCCATGATGTCACCAGGAAATCAAGTTCCCAATAGTGTTTCGAACCATGGTTATCATTTGCCACTAAATGTTGAAGATAATTACGTGAATATGCCTCAAAATAAACAGGATAAAAACGATGTCATAATTGATTTTAAAGATAAGTGCTTAAATACTTCTGTTTGAGGCAAATAGAGACCAACTAAAAAAACGAAAAACTATGTACATATGTAATAAAACCAAAGCTGAATAATGCAGATATGCAAATATGAGTAAGAGGTGTATTAAAGAAGTAACGGGGATATTTTGGAGAATATATTATATCTTAAATTGTCAGCATTATCCTTTAGTAATCTTTATTAGATGATACACACTTATGTCAGCGCTTCTTCCAATCTCATGAATACTTCTAGTACCTACTAAATCCCAGGGGATAGCTTTTAGGTCTCTAACTTACGCTTGTAACAAGACGGCCCTTAAGATTTTCTTTATTTTTGGAAACAAAAAATCACACTTGACCATATCAATAAAGTGTATTGGTTTTTGTGAAACAAAAAGTCCATAATCCATAATCCATAATCACGTTTTTATCAGTTGGTTGTGTGTGGACGATTCTTGACAATAATTTCCAAATCACAGTTTTTGTTTCTTCTGTTCATGCCAATTGATCAGAAATGTTATTAATTGATTCAAATAATGGCGTCACGAACTATTTTAAGTTATTTTGGAATCAACCTTATGGTAATATGGCGAGCTGTATTCAAATATTTCGCGCCAAACGCAGATGTACTTTGAACGAAAGATTTTTCGTTAGTCGAATTAGCATTATAAATAAGGCTTTTTAATTAGGTAAATACATTTTTAAATACTAAAATGATCTTTTATTTTCAACTTTATTTTAAAGAGAAACCCTGATAGCACACTTTATTCTAAGAATGTTTTTTAAACCTTCCATTGAGAATATCCTTAGGATTATGCTATATTTCTTCTAAAGAACATGCTTAAAAGACATATAGCATGATCCTAAGAATATTCTTATCGGCCTATAGGCAGGTTATTAGAAAGTGCAAAGTTTTAGTGGTAAAAATTAGTCTACTCTAAACATATGCTGAGAATGTTAAGAAAGTAATTGCTATAGAAAGTTCATTTAGGAATATTCCAGTTGAGCATATTTAGTTCAGTTACCTATATAATAGTAAAATATAAATGATAAACTACGTATAAATGTATATACCTATGCTTAAGTACCTAATTAGTAATTAGTATTAAATACTAAAGAAAAAAACACAATCCAAAATATTTTTTTATAGTTATTTTTCAAATTAAAACAATATTCGTTAACAAAATTACTTTTACTATAGGTATTTTATTTTATGTTAAAAATAAATATTTATTAATTTGTATACCAATTTTTTATTTCTGAATTAACATTTTTATGTATAATAATCCTAACTATCTTCAACTTCAATCAAATCAGACTTATCCCACAAAATTTTCTAATTTTACTTTTTATGAAATTATTTATTTTTAAATAAATAGGTATATATTAATAGTGAGGCGTATTTGTCGTCTTCTGAAGAATTTTACGAATGTAGAATACAACATATTAGAACGTGGGTATCTGACATATTTGGAAATATTCTCAAAAGCTTCCTAGAAGCTCCATAAGAAACCTTCTAAGAACATTCCAAAAACGTATTCTTAAAATGTTCTTAGGATGCTTTTTAGGAAGGTTTTAAGAAGCTTCTAAGAATCTAATTGCATCATTAAAATGCATCATTGCATCATTGAATGTTTTAAAAGTCCCTAAGAACTTTCTTAGCAATAAGGGAAGGTTCTAAGAATATTTCATTATTTCGGGTCATATCTTCTTAAAATCAAATTTTGCTATCAGGGAAAGACTGACAAATTATAATGTTATGTTTTCTGTAGGGTTTTCCAGGGTAATTTCAATTTCAAACTAGATTTAACCGAAAGTGAATTATAAAATAAAATAAATAAATAAATAAATAAAAATATCATCATTTAAAGGCTGTAAGTACATTTTCAAAGAATTCCACAAAAAAATTTGACATTTTAACTGGCACGCCGGTAATACATATTCCCAAGTTGTTGTTGTTACGCGAGTTACTCTATTTTGTTTATAGAAGTCGCTCTATACACATATTTTATTTAAATGATTTTTAAATGATAATAATAAGTATTTGTTGTGAAAAAAGTATAATGCAACTCGTTTTTAAACTTTTCTAGACACTCATTTAATTAAACACTCGCTCGCAAACTCGTTGGTGCCTAATTAAAATTCGTGACCAAAATGGTGTTTATTAATACATAATATACTATTAATAGATATCTACTTTAATTTTTTAATGACGAATTTTTAATAATATTCCAGTATCAGTAATGAGGAAGCGATTGTAGGAGAAGAATCTTCTGTAACCGGTTGGTTATTTAAGTCAGCTGCGTGACGACTGAATATGTGGATTGGACCAAAAATAATACTCTCCAAAAATGAATTAGTCAAAAATAACTAATTTAATAGTTAATAGTGGCTGCTTCTTCACTTGTGCCATGGTTAACCATCGAATACCATGGTAACCCAAAATTTAATAGCCAATTCTTATGTAAAATTGTACTCTGAATCCGAAAATACCGTCAAAAATTATTAAAGTGGAGCAGTTTTTGAGATATAGTCAATTCCATATTAAATGCAAAATTTACTATATCTCAAAAACTGTTCTACTTTTTTAACTTTTGAAGACATTTTCGGATTCAGGGTACAATTTTACATAAGAATTGGCTATTAAATTTTGGGATACCATGGTATTCGATGGTTAACCATGGCACAAGTGAAAAAGCAGCCTACTATTAAATTAGTTATTTTTGACTAATTCATTTTTAGAGAGCACCCATTATTATTATTATTATTATTATTATTATTATTATTATTATTATTATTATTATTATTATTATCTTTGGATTGGACATGTTAAGGAAAGGATAAAGTGACAGTGAACGATTGACAAAGTTATTCGTATCAAAACATTAAAATACGCAAACATTCTTTCTTGTAACTGTTCTGACAATCAATTCTATTTAATAAACTGGTGTACTACGCACTTTTATTTTGCATTTTCTGCTGTTATCTTAATTTTTTTAGCGTTATCTACATTTCAGTGGTTTTTAAGTTTAAATCGGTTTTTAAGTCAACTCACTTATCATTTCCTATACATTTGTTTATGTTACGCCCATCGAAGTGACCATTCGAACACAAATGTCTAGCGTTTTTTAGTTTACTGTTCTCACTATGTATTTTAAGTTTGTTGTTTGTTTTAGTGTTGTTATTCCTATAGGTAAGTAACAAATATACATTTTATGTCAAAAAATTGGTCATCGAAAATGATTCTTTGAGAAAATTATGTTGTTTCTGGGTATCGATATTGAAACTGAAAGTTAAAAGTATTGATTTTTATCGATATGTATACAGGGTGCACCACAACGATAGTTTTGGTGTTAGAAAGTTTAATATTAACCACCTTTTATGATCGAAACAGTTCATATTAAATATTTTGTTTGGAATAAAACTTTATTTAAGTCATAAGGCTACGAAGTGATAATAATTAATAAAAGAAAATGAGGTTAGATTAGAATTTTTTGATAGGTTCAAATATTTTTTGTCAGCGTAGGTTTAACGGATTGTCTGAATTATGTTTACAGACTAGAATGTATTTTCATTAAAAATAATAGTAGATTATGTGCTTAGGAGGAGAAGTGAGTTTTTTGTGCTGCAGCAAAGCAATTGAGTGAAGCACAAAAACGTAATAGGTATCATCTAATAAAATCTAAAAAACTTTTTTTACATGAATAACAGTGTGTCAATAAAAATGGCGGAGACAATATATTTTATTGTCCACGCTTATGTATCTCATTATTGTACTAGGAAAATAGTTATTATTGTACTAATACAAAACAACAATTCTAAAGGCTGTGCTGCGGCTAATAATATTGATATTATATAATGTTGGAAGATAAAACATTTTATTCACATAAAACCACGATGATGTCAAATATGCATGTACATTTTTATCTTTCCGCAATATCCTTTAATATGCAAGAAATTACCGCAACTATTAGCTTTTACATTTAAATAAAAGTTACTTAATAAAATTGGTAATTTTTAGAATATATTTTTATCGAATTAACTGGAAATAGTTAATTGAAATTACTCATACTTATTACCATACTTATTACTCTTTTAACTTTGATTTGTTTAACGTAGGTTTGCAACTTCTTTATTTCGGAAATACAGTGTTCAAATTTCTTCGTATTTTGAGGCCATTTTTACTAAGAGATAAAGCTCAACCATGATAATAAAATAAAAAACCTGTTAATGCGAGCGTCACTGTAGAATAAATAAATATTTGTTTTTGAAAAAAAATACAAAAGTATCTAAAAGTAAACGTTGAACATTGTTTTCTACACACCCTGTATTTTCAAAATAAGGCTGTTGCTGACTTACGTATGCAATGCAATTATGAAACACCTAGTATATTTTACATGCTGAAGTATTTCGTTTTAAAGGCAATTGTTTATGCCATTAGTAAGAATATATTATTTTTCTTTGACATTATTAGAACTTATAATTTATTTAATAAACAGTGGATGATAAAAACCGCCCACTAACCACTGCTTCCTTTATTTTAATCAATTAAAAACGCATTCCACTAAAAATAGTCATCAAGTAAATAATAAGTAATTGATTTAAATCTTATGGTTTTTGTTAAGGAATTAATACAAATTATGTTTAAAAAATACTGAAATACAAATTTAAATTAGGTTTTAAATTAAATTAATTTAATTTATATATATTAGGGTGGCCCAAAAAAAAAGAATATTTTTTTTCTCGTCTCTTGTAAAAATATGTTGGTTTGTCATGTTTTAAGAGCCCTGTCAAAAGATCAGCTCCATTAAAAAATTTTTAGGGGTCGCTCAAGATTTTTAAAAATTTCCAAAATCGTCAAAAATTGGATTTTTTTAAATTTTAATTTTTTTTCTCGTTCCAATAATATTTCTTAATTTGAAAATAATAGTGATTCTAAAAATTTCGAATCGATATTTTGATTTCTAAAGGTTGTTGGGTATTTTGAATGTTTTCGAGCGACCTCTGAATATAAATATCAGCGAATTTTTAGCGACCTTTGGAAATCAAAATATTGATTTGTAGACGAGACGAGAAAAAAAATAAAATAAAACAAAAATTCAATTTTTGACGATTTCGAAAATTTTTAAAAATCTTGAGCAACCCCTAAAAATTTACTTCCTTAAAACAATATTAAATTACCCTATTTTAGGCTTTTAATACAAAAATATATTTTTCTTCAAAAATTAAAAAGCTTATACCAAATAATTTTTATTTTAGTTTTGGGGAAAGTTAAACTGTCTATAGACAAAAGTGAATATGTTTTTGAAAAAGGAGGCAATTTAGATATTAAATGTTCTGGAACTGAGCCCATTCACTGGGATATCCCAAAGAATTCAGTAAGTATATAGCTAAGAAAACTAAAAAAAATTATATAATCGTGGCATTTTTTAGGATAACTATACTAAAATTAATATAAAAAGTTCACCAGGAGACAAAACCTATTCATATGTTGCTTTACTCGAAATAAGAAATATTTCATTCCTCTATGTGGGATCGTACAAGTGCCTAGGTCGAAGTGAAAACAAGTCTATATACTTGTATGTTAAAGGTAGCTTATTTAAATTTTTTTACACAAACATAAACAATATTATTTCAGATTTGGATCATTTATATACAGAAGACACACACATGTTAGACGTTTATCCAAAGCGGGGTTCAGAATATGTATTACCATGCAAACCAACTTTTCCAGAGGTTAAAGTTACACTTTATGATAGTACAAAAGGGAGAGATGTAAGTACCTATAGGTCAACGCGCTCTTTGTTTCTTTAACCTTCCCTAGATATAGGTCAGTACAATTTTTTTGTCTGGAAAGAAAATAATGAAGAAACATTCAAATCGCTATCGTCCTGTTTGGTCATCAAAGGGGTTCGAAACTTTTTCAAAACTTGCGAAAAGAATTAGAAAAATAAACTGTAGAACAACTTGTCAAAAACACGATCGACTTCTAGGGCTGAAACAGTATGAATTTCTTTTGAAGGGATCTTGGTAAAAATCTGACTTGCTAATGCTATACGTCCAGTAGGGTTATAAAGGAGGTAGGACGGGAGGGATAGACAGTTTGGTGTTTGGGGCCGAAAACCATCAATAGATAGTTCAGTAGCTGGATATGTAACTTGTAGCTTTTGATGTTTTTTTAAATTGTTTATTGCCGCAGTAGTGCGAAATTTCTAACAATTTTTTTAGTTATTGTGTTGTCCAAGCACGTTTTGTGGTAGAGTTTTGTCTTTTTTTCTTAAATTCCAAAATTAAGTATTGCATTTATTTATTAGTGAAACAAATGACAAGCGCAATTATTCTATTATAATTCAATGTGTTTACAAATCCAATAGATTTTGATTGGTATGCTATTTATAGTTTTAGTGATTTATTGAGTGTTAGTTTATATTCTGTTTGGGTTTCATGCCTTACGCATTTGTTGTTGACAGATTTATTGTCCTACACAGCTTTGGTGTATCACCGCGATAGTTCGATTGGGAAGTTTTGTTTTTTTGTTGTTTGTCTTTTTTCTTTATTATTTTACGGTGTTTGGTTAGTATTATCTTTCTAATGTTTCTATTGTTACTGATGTTTATTGTTTTTTTTCTAGAGTTTAAGCAGTGTGCCTTTCTTAGGGTTTTAAAGATGATTGTCGTATTTAATTTGCAAATTATGTGTTAGGTCATGCATATGCTTAAGGATACTTATCATTTTTTTGCGGATGGCCACTTCCCCTTTTGTTTGACCTCTTTTGTTTGTCTAGTGAAAAGCGTCCAATGACAGGTGGTATACCTATAGGACCAGAAGCTGAAACTTGTCACTTAACTCTTTCTTATCACTTAACACTTCACTCTTTATTGACCGTTACACTATTTTAGTTTGCACTTTATGAAAATTGTTTGTTTTACTATAATTGGTTTGCACTTTTAAAAAATTATTTGTTGGTTTTAAACTTTAAACTTTTACGTTTTAAGACCTCTCGCTGCTACAATGCGTCATGCCTTGTCAAGTGCTGGAACCTGACTGACCGCTTCTTCAATTCCTGATATATATTTATTGTTCAAAATTACTACGAAAAGATTTTTCAATCATTCCCAATTTTTAATCAAAAGATTGCGAATTTGCCGAATAAGTCTTCCCTCAAAACAACGTGTAGGCTGCTTTCCAGCATTGAGCCCATTATAAGGCCCAAGTTGGGTAACGTTCTTCTGAAAGTAACTTAAGAAAGTCCAATCCTATTTAGATTATTTCCAAGTAATAAGAATCTGACTGCAAATCACACAATTCCATTTGAAGGTTGTCACTGCTCGAGCTCCTCAATGTTCCAATAACTTCGTTACGGATTTCTATCAATCGCCAGTGGCGTCACATAGCTTATGTATCTGTTATTTTATTTCATAGTTGGTGAAGAAATGACTCGCTTGTTTATATTTTCGTTTTTTTTTTTAATTTTATATATTCTTGTATGCTTGAAAAACCTTGTTTTATTTTAGATACAGCTGGGAAAACTCGATGACAAAGATACTTTATACACAGCACATCCCCATCATGGAATTTATAGTAATGCCAGTGAGGATTCCGGATTCTTAGATTGTACTTTTGAATATACATACATAAATAATTACAGCTCGTATCTTGTGGTACACGTTAACGTAGAAGGTAGGTAGATATATTAAAATGTATTTAATAATAATAATAAACGACCAAGCTTCACTCAGATTCTTTTGAGTATGCCGTGTGATAAGAATGGAGTTTTCTCATTGGCTTATGGCTCAGAGGAATGTAATCACTCAAAAAAGACATATATTTTTTATAAAAACTTCATTATCCTTGTATGAAGCCCTTAGATACTCTCTAAAAATAAATTAGTCAAAAATGACTAATTTAATAGTTATTAGTGGCAGCAAAATTTAACAGCCAATTCTTATGTAAAATTGTTCCCTGAATCCGAAAATGTCATAAAAACTTAAAAAAGTTGAACAGTTTTCGAGATATAGTCAATTTTCCATTTAATATGGAATTGACTATATCTCAAAAACTGCCCCACTTTCATAATTTTTGACGGTATTTTCGGATTCAGGGGACAATTTTACTTAAGAATTGGATGTTAAATTTTGGGATACCATGGTATTCCATGGTACAAGTGAAAAAGCAGCCACTAATAACTATTAAATTAGTCATTTTTAGAGAGTATAGTAGCGGGTGTTTCTTGAAATTTGCATCAGAGCGCTATATTTCCCACCTCACAACTGCCTGATTGGTAGAAATCGATTCTATAGAAATTTTAAAAACCCCTGAAGATGCTCGTGTTAAAATTTGAAATGTTTTTAGAGCCAATATATTATTTACCAACTCCAATAGTACGGGATTTAAATTTCAGTCATGTTGAAATTGGTCAAAAGCTTGTATTAGAATGCGAATTGGAAATAGAAAATCAAGTTAAAATGTTTTGGATATTGCCCAATAACACGGTAAGTTTTACCTTGGGTACATCAAGTACATTCATTTATCATCATATGACGTCACCTTGTGATCACAATATAAATTTACCTTTTCAATCAATTAAATAAATAATACAATGTAGCATAAATATATTTGTCATCAATTATATAAATTATGTTATGTTAAACAAAAGTTTTTTATTCTTGACATCTAAATGGGTAAAACTACCAATATAGGATAAAAAAACTTTTGAAGACAAAATATTAAAACTTGTTATTTGGACTACCCTTATGTAGATACATCTATTTGTGGATAGTTTTCTTTGTATTTCTTTTTTTATCAAATTTAATATTCCCCCGGCCCTGAATACCGTGTTCCTCTATAAGAAGCACTAAATGATGATAATTTTTAACTTTAGAAAATAAAAGGACCGATGAGATCTGAAAATGAACACAAATTAAAAATAATGGAGTTAATTGTAAACCCTACAGCAAAACGCGATATAGGAAATTATACTTGCTTAGTAGAAGACCTACAAAATCACACAGTCACCAGTTCTATACCTATTAAGTTATTTAGTAAGTAACCTTATTTATTTAATTACACGTCTAAAAATTTTTAAACAAGAACGATACTAAATTTTTTTGAAGGTTTTGTGCTTAATTCTAATACGACCTTGAGTTTAGGTTTTTTTCTCCACAAAAATCAAAACGACCTCCAAAAGTCCTTTACTCTTCCCATTCAAAATCATGTAATTTTCACCACTGAAAAATCGTTGAGTTGATTTCTCGGATAGATGAAATGATTTCAAAGGATTTTGAAGAGAGTGTATAGTACTTTTGGAAGACATAATGAGTTCTGTGGAAAAATATTTCATGATGTAACAAAACCCTTTTGGATTTGAATTGCTCAGAAAACCTAATGAATTCTAATTCAGCTCACGAAAACCTTCAGAAAATTTCATTTTGATTTCAGCAATGAAATGTTGATTAAATTTTGCATTAAAATACTTAACATTTTAGGTCCTGGTGAGCATTTTATAAAATTAAAACAAATAGGCAATGATTTGTCTTTGGTAAAACCCCACACAAATATATCTATAACCGTGGAAATTGATGCGCATCCACAAGCTAACATATCATGGTAGGTATTCCATATTTAAATACATATAGTTAAACTATAATAGTTTAAATATAAACATTGCCTTTGCATTATACAGGAAGCCACCAAAAAATGTCGCTAGACAAGAAGGTGAAACAAAAAAATATGATATAGTTAATAATATGACGCACACCACTTTAATCTTAAAGGACGTTGAAATAGTAGACACCGGTTTTTACACAGTTACAGCCACCAATATGTACCAGGATGAAAAATCGATGGATTTCTATGTCAATGTTACCGGTAAAAATATTTTATGTTTGCATTATATTTTTAGTCTCCTATGAAAATTTGTTAGTTAATCACATTTCGCATTTTGGATATTATGATAAAGTAAAAAAAAAGGTCTTCAATATATTTTTGGAGACAAACAAAGTTATATGGAATCACCCAGTAATTACGAGAAACATTATTCCACTTAAAATAAAAAGCACTTTATCTGAAACAATTAATTGTATTACCAAAATAACAAATTATCTAGAAAACAAATTACAAAAATGTAAATTTCTTTGAAAATAAATTTGTATTTATAAAGAAATAAAAGGATTTTGTTAATTTATTAATCAGTGATAGACATCTAAACTCTGAGCTGGACGATCTAAAATCTCAATGCAAAGAAGGAAGTGTATGTTTTGGGGTGGCTTTATGATTGGTAAAAACATCCCTAAGAGATCCAAGGTGTGTGGATTTAGTTCTGCAACCCGTAGTAAGTCTCTGAAAAGGTGCTTTCCGCGATTTATACAGGATAATGCACCTCCATTTACCAGCAGAGTTGACAAAAATTGTTTGGAAATAGAAGGTATAATAGTTTTAGATTGGCCTTTTTATTCATCGGATGTAAATCGAATTGAATTGTGGAATAAGGTTAAAAGAGAAATATAGCTTGTCAAAATAGCCCTGGCAATGCAGAGACTAATAAAAGCAGTTTTAGAGGGATGAGGAAATGTTTCCCAAGAAGACAGTCATAACTTAATAGAAAGGCTAGAAGTGGAAATACTGATTATTTAACTAACAAAAATTTATTATTTTTTCTCTGGTTCTAATACTTTTTCTTGCAATTACTGTGTGGTTTTATATAAGATTGGTTGTGTATATATACTGTATATATATTTTAAATTCAGATATACCAATAGTAGAAATATTGACTGATGACTTCCACTTAATAAACGAAAATTCGACGGTAATCTGCAGGGTGGCTGCAAATCCTCCCCCAAACATTGAATGGTTTTACAAAGATTGTGATTCTTGCGACTTTAAACCGGTATTATTAGAATCCTTATCTAAAAATAATTTGGTTTATATTTTTTGTAATTTTAGATAAACAAATCCATAAACACTAACAGAGATTACATATATAATTCCACTGTGACAATAAAAAGATCAAAAGATGGTCTTTTGAAGTGTATAGCTTCAAATAGTAAAGGAACAGATTATGTCGAGGTTGGATATTTTGTTTCAGGCAAGTGACTTTTTTCCTATTATTTAATTTGAATAAATTTGTCCTATATGTTAAAACAGTATATATCATAATAATTGTTTCTGACCGACTAGCCGAATAGCTTCATAAATAATTAGTAAAAAACCTCTCTAAAAAACTTTTTCTCTTCCTAGATGTTAAAAACGGGTTCGAATTCGCTGGTTTAGATGACTTCTATGTAGACAACAAAAATGTTTACCTTGCTTTACACGAAAAAATTTCCTTAATGTGTGGGGCATCTGTAAAAAACTATTCTAAGCCCGAATGGTATGTCAACAGTACTCTGGTAGAAAAAGGGTTTGGCAACGGCACATTTGATCTGAATAAAGCTAAGACTAATTATAGCAGTAAAATTTATCTTAAAAAAGAAAAAGCTGAATATACAGATAGTGGTAATTATGAGTGCAAGGTTGAAAAACATGGCAATCAAATAAAAAATATCTACTACGATTTTTCTGTTATGAATAAATCGCCATTAAAGGTAGTTCTGAATCAAACAACTGTCAAGCTAAACGGAACCCACCCTATCACTTTGACTTGCGATGTCTTTGGTTTGCCCAAACCCAAAGCAGTTTGGCTTAAGGTGAGTACTATCATTTGCTGTGAATTTTGATTTATTTATGTCTTAATGTTTTTAGGGCGGACAAGAGATAAAATCCACAAAGGAAATATTATTTTCAAATGGAGTACCTTATACAAGATTAAACATAACAGTTTTTAAAGAAGGTACTTATGAATGCTCAGGAACATTGGGTGTCACTATTTCGAAGGAAAAATATGTAGAGCTAGAAAGTAAGATTGCATCGTGGAACAAGGTTTTGTTCATATGTCTTGGAGTACTTTTAGCAATTTTGATTGTCGTTCTTGCTATTGCTTTAAAAATTTTCAAATCAAAAAAGGTAAAGCAGCAAATAATTTACATCTTCCCTAGTTTTGTAGTAGACGACAATGGTACAAAAAATATATTTACTTATGATGTGAGCGATAAATTACCACTTATTGATTAGTTTAGCTTTTTCGTGAAAAAATTAGTATTTGTTATAGTTTTTGTTATTAATATATTAAAATTAAATGACATATTAGTTTTTTTGTTAAGACCCATGTTTCTATAATAATTTAGACCACTATTATGATAAAAAATTTCCAAGAAGCGTAAGTGCACTTTGGAATAATATTCGGTATTTCATTAAGTAAAATATTCACATACTTGCTTCATATTTAAAAATGAAACATACCTACTACGTAATGGCAATTGAAACATTTTCTAGAAACTAGAATACGAAATGAAACAAGCAGGTTTAGATAACTTCAAATGCGGCGCTATAGAAAACCTAAACCCGAATCTAGCAATTGACGAACAAGCGGACTTGCTTCCCTACGATGACAAATTCGAATTTCCCTTGGAAAATTTGAAGATGGGTAAACAGCTCGGTTCAGGGGCATTCGGTGTTGTCATGAAAGCAGTGGCGAGGCATATCATGGACCACGAGGACATGTCTGTGGTTGCTGTCAAAATGGTGAAGAAAAACGCTGATCCGGCTCTGATTAAGGCGCTGGCATCCGAGCTAAAGATTATGGTGCACCTTGGAAAGCATTTGAATGTTCTTAACTTGCTTGGCGCTTGTACTAAGAACGTTGCAAAAAGTAAGAAACATATTTGTATTGCTATTACTTTCGTTATATTATGTTTTTACTCAATATTTAAACCCAACAATATAATATTTATAAGATGTTTCTTTAGTACTAACATTTATTTAATAATTTTAGGAGAACTGATGGTCATAGTGGAATTCTGTCGCTACGGAAACCTGCACAACTATATCCAAAGACATCGAGACAACTTCATTAACCAAATTGATCCTAATACGCAATCAGCCGACTTTAGAATTGGGCTGGAGGTTCTTGAAAGAGTCTATTCAGCTCCAAACAGGTGGGTCCATATTTTACATGTACTTGGCATATTTTAAAAGTAAAATTATTTAGCCCTGCTGTGAAGTACGCTGAGTTATCCTTCCAAAATCCCAGAAGGTATACCGGTTCCAGCCAAGGTTCAAGAAATTATTCTGTAAATTATTCTGCAAGAACACAGATGTCTTCTCTATCCAATAATTCTGAACGTAAGTTATTAAGTAAACTTTTAATTTAGCTTTATTTAGTGTTTTAAATGTACCTGCTTTTTAGCTAGTGAAGAGTTTTTCTTGAGCAACAACAGCAGTATTCAACCTGATTGGAGATCGAACTATAAGGGGGACTACAAAGGAAATGTAAAACCAATTTGCACAAAGGATTTGATATGTTGGGCCTTCCAGGTTTCCAGGGGAATGGAATATTTGGCTTCCAGAAAAGTAAATTCAAAATTGTGTACATTTAAACGTTTAATCTCGTTGTTATTTAAGGTTTTGCATGGAGATTTGGCAGCCAGAAACATATTGTTATCTGAGAATAACATAGTAAAAATATGTGACTTTGGTTTGGCCAAAAGCATGTACAACAACGATAACTATCAAAAGAAAGGGGAGGTAATATTAAATCGATAATATTTTGTACACCTACTAATATATTTTCAAGGCTTTACTTCCAATAAGATGGATGGCAATAGAATCTATAAGGGACCGAATTTTCTCCACTCAGTCCGATGTTTGGTCTTTTGGTGTAGTTCTGTGGGAGTTTTTCTCGCTATCCAGAAGCCCATATCCAGGTATTTTACCTGACAAAACTCTTTATGACAAATTAGCCAGTGGTTATAGAATGGAAAAACCGGAGTTTGCGCCTAAAGAAATGTAAGAAGTTACATACAACTAATATTTTTTTATAAATATTAATTTTTTAGCCACAATATGATGATGGACTGTTGGCTAGAAAAACCGCAAAATCGACCATCATTCGAAAACCTGACCAAAGGTTTGGGAGATCTCTTGGAAGACAAAGTCAGAAGGGTAGGCAATATTATAAATTATTTATCCCTAAACATTTGGAAAATGAAAAAGATTTCCCATTAAAAAATAGTTTAGTGTTATTTTTGATGATTGGTATTTAACCTTCTTTGTAATATCCAAAATATGTTTTGTGTAGCACTACATTGATCTCAACGACCCTTACCTAAAAATGAACACCGAAACATTGGACACTCGAAGCGACTATTTGGCGATGGTCAGCCCGCCAGATTTTGGCGTGCTATCCTCCCCACTTTCCGACGACTGCCCCAACTCCCCCGATTTAGACTCCTTGGGATACTTGAGCATGCGCTCAGCTGACATTTTCAGTCCTAGGATTAAGGACGGGCAGATATTCGACTTCGCAGACCCGCAATCAAGAAGTACGCTAAACGAAAAAGGCAGCCAGTTTGAGATGGAGCCTATGATGTCACCGAGAGATGAAGTTTCTGACAGTTTTTCGAATCCGAGCTATCATTTGCCACCGAAAGTTGGAGAGATAGCAAGAACTGCGGACAATTACGTCAACATGCCTCAAAATAAGCATGACATGAAGAACGAAAAAAAGGATACGGACAAGGATGTGGCCGTTGAATATAAAGAAATGCCCAATTATGTTAATGATTCTTCTAGAGATTGGGAAGGTGGAAGGGCCTAAACTGTGGATACAGTCTTTAAAAGACATTACAAAACTCTGCGAGTGAATAAAGAACTTTGATTCTCAAAAGTTTTAAATATAATTTCACTGCAATGGAATGGAAAAATTGGTCTCACTACATTGTATATAATAATTATAAGTACAATTAAATAAAATAGGTATTTTTAAACTATTATTAATAAACAGGCATATTATGTACTTAAAACAAAGATTATATTTTAATTATATAAAAAAATTGTATTATTTTAAATACGAAATAAATAATTGTGCAAATTTCTTGTTCATTCATTTAAATATACTATACGTGATTGTATAGAAATGTTGGAATCATTATAGGACCCATTAAAGTTGGAAAAAGATCCTGAAAATGTGCTGCTTTTAAAGTCAGTTTCAGGCCCATGTGGATTAAGGACTTGATCAACAATACCTATATTCATCGCCTCTCCTAAAATACAATAACTTTTATCTAAGAAAACAAGATTGCGATAATACTTAACAAACTGCTTCTAAATACCAAATTTGGAAAAATGTATTCAGCTTCATTGCATTGAATAGTTGACGTAGACAGAGAAAATAAAACAGTAACCATTGAAGCCAAAGACTATCTCTTTTACGTAGGAGCTTAGAGACGATAAAACTTAAAACTTTTACAGAAAAGGTTCTGATAGACCAACATGTACAAAAAATACTTCTTCATGGCCTACATTGAGGTGGAAAAGTCACCAACGTCAAAGGTAAATAAACTTTTTAAAATCATACATATTCTAATAAAACCTCATGGGTTATCAATGGTTACTATTTTAAATTCTTCGTGTACACGTGACTGATAACTGATAAAAATATCGAAATATTTTTTTAAACCATCTCGTAAACATTAGCATCAAAATTGACATGCTTACTCACCATTATTCATAATACAAGAAACAGAAGTTACTATATAGGCTTTATCATCGCTGGTTTTTGTTTCTTTTTTGCAACCTATCGTTCCTTGAGGACAACGTTCTTCGCATAATGTTGGTACTTAAAGTAAACAAATATTAGATACTTAAAATATAAAAGATTAAAATAAAAATTACTCTTTCCGCAAACCACATTTATTAAAATTATTATCAAAATTAAATGACGCATTTTCAATATTCCGTTGTTATTAAGATACTGATAAGTGTTAAAATTATTTTGTAGCAATAAATGCACTGGGTTCAAAGTTCAAAGTAAACTGCAACTCGATTAATAAATATTTATTATTATTTGTTTATTTGAGTTTTAAAATTTATTTAATCACATAAAATTTTCGATATTGTTGTATTGTCCATCAATGCCACTAAAACGATCAACGTCGAGCACTGGTCTCCTGTAACTACGAATTCCTTCAACATTGGAATAAGTGGTACTCCTGAAATAGGTATTGCTTCCAATAGTGTTTGGTTCTTGGCTATGATGGTCCAGAAGAACAGAATCTAGAATGTAATAACATATAATATACAAATTTATCTATGACGACCTGTGACTTTATGGCGTTTTAGTCCCAGGTGAAGTTAGCTTTATTATACATTGGGGGATGTTAAATACAGTTGTCAGATTAATTAAACTTGTAACTAAAATGGAGTTTATAAAACTTGATAAATAATATTTATACTCCAATTAGGTAATTTTAGTAATAGCAAAGTTTATTATAAGGTCCCTGTCTCTCCATTTTAAAAAACAGTATAGTCGTCCCTCGTATACATTAAAACATTTGTTCCAAGCTGAAAGTTCCATGTTGAAACTTCCAACCTCATTTTTTCTTAATTTAAAACCTGATTGGTTCAAATCACAGTGAATTTTAAAATCGGCCAATCACTGATGCCTAACAACGTGAATAATGAGTTCATTATTGCCGAAAAAAACAAACAATGTCAATAATATGCAATAGAAGTAGAAAAAAGTAATATCTACATAAGGACCTTGTAAATAAGTTGATACACTTACTGGAATCATCCAAACATGAAATAGTGGTTTTTAATGTATGTTTATCGGCCGATGTAATTATTTCTTTTTTGCAGTTTGAAGTATAAGATGGGCAATCCACTCCATAACAGCGCGTTCCTTCTAAAACTCAAAGAAAATTAAAGGTTTTGGCAAGCCATATACATTTATACTTACCTTGCCCTAGGGCTTGAGAAGCAAGATTCAAAAAAAGAAAAAAACACAAACCCTTGACTAGCATGTTTACCTTAAAATATTAAACCTTTTTAAAACTGAAATGGCGATTTTTCTGCTTCCAATCACGCTATTTATTGTGTTCGATTCATGTCAGAGTTCAAGTTGAATGTTTATAAAGAACTCATTGATAATGGTTAGATACGACGTTGATCATATGGTGTAAAAATATTTCATTAACACGCTGCTGATAAGGTGGTTTCGATTTTAAAATAGGTCGCTGTTTTGGGTCAAGTGAAACACATATTTTTGATAGAAAAATTTAATTCGAAAAATAATATTCTATTTCTTGGATTCTGGGATTATAGTTGTTGGTTCCTCTTTTGAGGTTGTTGTTATTTCATTCAAGCGAATTGCTTTGACTTCCACGATTGTTTTTACAATTCCATCTAAAAACAAAAGAAGGTACCTGTAGATTAAATTATTAGGATTTCACCAGCCCATAGAAAAATGAAAATGATTTGTTAAATAAAATATGGTCGAAATCAATTTTAAATTATTGTTATTATTATTCAACAATACCTATTTAAGAAAAGTTAAGATAAAAAATGTTAAATCCTGAAAAGGAAACCCTCTGTATATTAAAAATTCTTACCAAAATCGTCCAAACAAAGAATGGACATTTCCACATTTGTCCGGTTAAATATTTTAGCACTTCTTCCACATTTTACAGTACCCTTTGGACATGGTCTATTGTGACAATAAAAAATATTTTCATCTATTGATTGATTTTGTTCCTCAGCTATAACATTTATGTATTTTATTATTGTTATCAAGGACAAAAATTAAGTAGAATTAACGTTCCTAATTTTGCAATACATTATGGCAGTTTTTTGAAATTATCGAATACATTATTTTTGTAGAATTACTTACCGGAAATTAAAATTCCCAGAATTAATACGATTGATATTTTCCACCACATATTAACAACTTTCTTAGAATAAATAATTAAAAAAGATAAATAAGGTCTTATCAAAATTATAAGCAATTTGATTAAGCAACGTTTCTGGTAGTCCAGTAAAACTATATACAGTGGTCACAAATTATTAGGGCCAGTAGCAATTTTTTCGAATTTCCAAGTTTGGATGGATTTGGGGGAAAAAATAACCGACCCCTTTTGAGTTTTTTTATTTTTATTCAATGAAACATCTATTACTTATATTTTTTTCGTTATATTAAAAATTACTCTTTGAATTAGAAAAAAAAAATATTATTGAGTGTAAAACGTAAAAACTTGCAAAAATGCAGGAAATTAATAGGGTAAGGTAGACAGTTATCGGACAATTTATAGTTATTGGACGCTGTATACAATTATAACTATTTTAGTCGGTAATAATATACTACTTTATTTTGGGTCCAATATAGGACAAAAAGTTCGCAAGTTACTTTGGTGGTAAGATTTTTGTTTTTTTGTTAAGAGCAGGGCTGTGTTTAAATTACCATAAAAAATATTTCTAAAAAGTGTACAGATCAGTGTGTGGTATAAATGGGTTCCTCATGGTTTAAACATTGTCACTTTTATGCGCTTTAATTTTAATTCTGAAAACAAACAATAAAATGGCCAGTATCCAATTACTGGTTGGTAAAAAATGTAAATTTCTATTATTGGACATATGATACTCTATTTGTATCCCGGACATTAACCAGTCAATTCTTTTGTCAAAAACTATAAAAGTTCAGCAGTTTTTGAGATATAGTCAATTCCATATTATACGTAAAATTGATTATATTTTAAAAACTGTCCTACTTTTATAACTTTTGACGACATTTTCAGATTCAGCAAATTATGTTTCATAGGAATTGACTGCTAAATGTCCTGGATACAAATTGCTGTTGACGAGAATTATTAGTGGCTGCTTTTTCGCTATGACATTTTTGAAAGTAAGTAATATAATGATTTCTTCGTCACAGAACATCTTGCAGAATAACAGTGACTTAAATAAGTGCATGATAGAGAACATAAAAAACCAATGGCAACAAAATTAATAAATTCGGAAAATACTTTTAACATACCACCCGAAAAAATATTAGATAGGTATATATAAATCATCCTGTTCCGGCCTAAACATTATTGATGCTTCACAAATTCAGAATCCAGAAAAGGTATGAGGAATCCGAGAAAGAAATATATGAATTATATGATATTTACAAAAACGAAATAAAAAAATTATCTAAAATAGCAATTTATCTTTAAAAATATTTAACAATTTATGTTATTTGATGTTGTTATGTTTATATAAAAATTGTATGCCAATAACTATGGTCCGTGACTATATACTCCAATGTCCAATTACTATATTGTTTTGCATGTTTTTATAAAACTATTATTAAAAATTCAAATATTCTTATTTTTAAGTAAACGTAAATAAACAAACAAACTATCCTTTTTATATATTTATAAGAAAAAAAGTGTCCAATAACTATGTGGTTTACCCTAATACATAAAAAAATGGTTCCATATGGGCAACCTAACCCTACATTAAATTAGATAATCTTCCCAAACTGGTTAATTGAAATTCCTAAATAATTAATTAATTTTATCTGTGATAAAGTATGTTGCCAATAGAGAATAACTCGTTTCTATGTTTCCTATTTCCTTAAAAGGAAATCACCATTCTGCAGCGCTGCATCAAGTTCCATTAAATTACAGGCACTTTACTAAAGTGACTTTAGAATCTATTAAGAAATTAGTAAATTCAATATTTAGAGGGACGCAATTTTTCAAAAATCTTAAAAGTATGTTTCTATCATTAAACGGTTCTACAAGCACACACATTTTTGTTTTAATACCTACATAACACAGATCCACACAATTTGGATTAAAGATGGCGCTTTTTTGACATTTTCCCTGACTACGGCCCTGATCTCGCAGTGTGTAATTTGAAATGCAGCTGCCCAGACCGAGAGAGTTAACAGTTCGGAATCGAATCGTAATAAATAACAGAAAATAGGCCACAAGGTTAGTTTGCTAGTGTTTTAAGCATTTTATTTTAGTTGTAAAGTTAAAGTACGCTGGTACTTTACATACACCGATCGTTTATAAGATACAATGCAAGGCAACTGAAGAAATCTGCGAATAATTCACTGTCAAGTTTGCATTTACCTATCGACTGCTTTAGGCAGATAAAACAAAAATACACTGCCCTTCAAATATTTAAAACAACTTTTTAAATTAGGATAATAATCAGGTGCTCCGACACAACCCTTTTTTAATTTTATTGTAGATAGGTTTAATAGAAGACGACTACTGTGTAACTGTACCTCCTAAGGTACCTTTTTTATTAAATTTTCAGTGTCTTATTGGGACAAAAACCTACGATTTGTCAGAGTAATGGGATTATTTTTATTTAAAGAATAAACTTTTTTTACTGTTAATAAAATTCTCATTTACTATAATGAAGCAGCGATGCACAATCCACACATTGTGGATTGTGCAGCGATGTTGAGCTTTTATAAAAAAAATTTCATCCAACAATAATAGTTGTTATCATACTGTCATAGCAATAAGAAATACTTTATGTTTATATTAAATCTTTGTCGAACTTAAAATGTTTTTTTTAAATCTATAGTTGTGTGTGAATTGCGCTTACATAAAGTAATGCGCAGTTGTTATAGTAAAATTTGTTCATTTTACTATAGCATATTTGTCTTTTTTAAATTACTATCGTTGTAATTCAAATTAATTTTATTTCAGTTAGAAAATCTTTGTTAATAGCTTACGTTAAAAAATATTTTATTGCTATAAAAGACTTTTTTAATATTAACTATTTATTTTAATGGTAACAAAATTTTTGTTATTTCCCTTAAAAAGAGGGGGAAAGGGCCAGCGCTCTCCTTGGTGATCATAACTTTATAATCCACAGTCTGTGTTATAATCTTATTGATTTCACTTGTGCGAGTGAAGGGTAAAATTTAGCATGATAAAAATATCAAAAAGTTCGCTAAGAAAATTAAAATTTCGACGTTTTCTAAAAGAAATATTTAAGGTATATTCTATAAACGAAGCAGACTTGTTGTTTAAAAAGTGAGTTCATATTTTTTTATTTTGTACATCATATAATATGAGTTAATTTTTTTGTTATAATAAATAATTTGTTTTAATGCCTTGCAATTATTTCAAAAAAACTACCCAATACCCAACAATAGGTTGAAAATGTGACCATTGTTACAATGAAAATAGTTTATTGAATTAACAATTAATTTGTTGTTAAATTTATATAAATTTTATTAATATAATAAAAAAAAATTATTTTAAACGAAAAGGGATTTGTAAAATTTACAAAATTTCTATGAATAATACCATTAGGGTTTCAAAAGGTGGTCAAAACTAAAGTATAGGACGAACAAAAATGCCAACCAAAACTGATAGCATAATCTGATTATAGACTCTTTTGGTAACACAAAAATGTATTTATCAAAATCCCAGCTGATCCTTTATTAAAGTTTTGCATATTTCTTAGTATTTTAAAATTGTTTGCCATTTCGATAAAATACTCCAGTACCATTATCAAATGTTTTTAAAAATTTGGCAGATACATGACAGAAATATGGATAAATTACATTATAAATACAAAATAATGTAAAATACAGTTTGCAATTTCTTATTTATTGTTTTGAGGTACCTAATAGAAAACTAATAAATAACTAAAGATTCTTTGAAGCAAAATCGATTACTGCTTGCCTTAAATTTTCAGTAAAACTTTTTCTTGGGTTTTACATGGAATTGTTTTTAACATGGAAATAGTATTTTTAAATTTTTCAGTCTCTGTACAAACATGCTTCTTACATCTAGCGATATCCTCTAGAAAGGAAGAGCATATCAAAACTTTAGTTCGTTCGTCCGTCCTCTTCCCTTAATAATGTTTTATGCCCTTTATTATAAAGGCTTTATATCTTGCCATTTTGCAGATAAAGCACATACATTCTTGGCTGCCGCGAAATTCTCTAGCAATTTCTAAATTTTGAAAATTTGGCAACTGTGGCTATAGCCATATAGCATATATGCAAAAATACCGTTTTTACCATATTGAAGTAGGTAATTTTGAATCACTTAGGTTAAAGTGTTCGTTTGAAAAAGTCTTCAGTAATTTTTATATTTTAAATTACTATTTTTAACTTTATAAAGTATACATTAAATAAACAACTAAAGCAAAATGTCACTTGAGGTATAACGTATAGCAATTTTTTTCATAACCACCTTAATTATTGTTTTACAAAATTTGCAAGTTGTAATTATTTCATAGACAAACTTCCAGTATTTTTTGTTATAAAAAATATTTAAGATATAAATCTTCGTTTTTTTGTCATGTTTTGTTTTGAGTGGTAAAAAATAATAGGTGACTCAATAAACTAATACTCGGGGGTAAAGTAATTTAAATGATACAAAGTTTATTATTTTGCTTAATTTTATTAAAATTGTACAGGTAGTTTTAGTACAATAATTGCAAAATAATATATGGAAATAGAAAAACAAAAAAGTTTGCAAAACTTTAAAATAGGATTGGCTGAGATTTTGATAAATACATGTTATCAATCAGTTTTGGTTGGCATTTTTGTTCGTCCCATACTTAAGTTTTGACCACCGTGTACAAAACGTTTTTGTAAATACTCTAATTTTATAAAAATCGGTGTAAAAATGTGTACTCTGTGAAAGGTAGACTTTGAAATAACCAAAAATTTAAAAAAAAATTCTTAAATTTTGAAAAAATTTCGAAAAAAGTATCAGCTAGGATTTTGGTAAATATCATTTTTAAGTCACCAAAGGGTCCCGAACAAGAAACTGCAATCAGTTTTTGGCGTCATTTTTATGTGACCTAAACTTCGTTCAGGGACACTGTTTGTAGGACAAATAATAATAACTATATTTATCAATGCCTTTCTCTATCTGAAAGAGTGTTATTTTTATAAACATAACGTAAATTACTTAATAATTAATGCAAATGCT